CAAATATTGTTCACAAATCTGTTTAAATCTGTGTTAGTGAGCACTTCTCCTTTGCTGAGATAATCCATCCACCTCACAGGTGTGGCATATCAAGATGCTGATTAGACAGCATGATTATTGCACAGGTGTGCCTTAGGCTGGCCACAATAAAAGGCCACTCTAAAATGTGCAGTTTTACTGTATTGGGGGATCCAGGGGGGTCCGAAAACCAGTCAGTATCTGATGTGACCACCATTTGCCTCACGCAGTGCAACCCATCTCCTTCGCATAGAGTTGATCAGATTGTTGATTATGGCCTGTGGAATGTTGGTCCACTCCTCTTCAATGGCTGTGCGAAGTTGCTGGATATTGGTAGGAACAGGAACACACTGTCGTATATGCCGATCCAGAGCATCCCAAACATGCTCAATAGGTGACATGTCCGGTGAGTATGCTGGCCATGCAAGAACTGGGATGTTTTCAGCTTCCAGGAATTGTGTACAGATCCTTGCAACATGGGCTATGCATTATCATGCTGCAACATGAGGTGATGGTCGTGGATGAATGGCACACCAATGGGCCCCAGGATCTCGTCACGGTATCTCTGTGCATTCAAAATGCCATCAATAAAATGCACCTGTGTTCGTTGTCCATAACATACGCCTGCCCATACCATAACGCCACCTCCACCATGGGCCACTCGATCCACAACGTTGACATCAGCAAACCGCTAACCAACACGACGCCATACACGCTGTCTGCCATCTGCCATCTGCCATGAAGCTGACGTCATATTAACTCAGGAAGTCTTGAAATGATCTAAACCCTTAGCAAGCATTGTCAAAAAGATATTGTTCTTCCCTCCAGGTCAGATTTTCTCCTCTTATATATTGTCTATTTAATCTTAGGAAGTCTTCATATTATCTAAACCCTTAGCGGACATTATTAAAATGACTTTGTTCTTCCCTCTTTAAAGGAAAGCATCAGAGTCAGTCAGAATGATAGAAACTACACCACTCCACCGGCTGGAGGAAATGTGTCTAGTCCACTTTGAAGAGCTTTATCAAAGGCCTTTCACTAAAGTCAAATAGATGTAGATAAAAAATAGCTTTGATATGCGTGACATTGGAGCCACATCTGGAACATAATATACTGGAGAAAAAAAAACTTAAAATACACTTAAAACAATTGCTTTATAAATACAAAAACAAGTCAATTACTGTATTATATATTATAAATGAGCTGTCTTTCATTTGTGTCATATAGATCCACTCACTTCTGCATGCGGCCAGGATGAGAATAACTACAGCATTTCTTATCTACAGTATGTTGAGACATCAGGACCAAGGAAACCATGACATCTGTTAGTACCACTACATCAACAATCATCATAGATACATTTATAATAAATTATATTATATCAATAATTATATAGTTTGTGTGTGGCACATACTGTAAATGCTACTTTAAGTATTGTTGTAGCTCAGACAGAAGAGAATTTCTAGAACTTAAAATTGTGCTCTCTAGTAAGACACTGCAGTACTGCACATTAGGATAGGAAGCGTTGCACAATGTACTATGCAATACAACACCATATATAGTACAATGCATTTGGCTTTTTAAATAAAAACAGGATGGGTATAGAGAAGATGAGATGTAGATGTAGATTACATAAATAAATGTATGTATAATACATAAGTGAAGAGGCCAACATGTCAAAGTGCATGCATGTTTAATTCAGGCATGTTGTTTGGTTTATAATGTCACTGCCCAGAATATGAAACTGTCTTTTTTCTTCTTTATCTTGCATATATATTTCTAAATCCCCCCTCCCCTTTTTCAGAAAGGGTTTTCAGCATTTGCAGCCCAACTCAATGTGACATATTCTATGTATGTGTGTTATTTAAGAAAAACTACAAACTAAATCCAGCACTGTGCATCACACAAAGCAAAGATACGTTACTAAAAGGCTCTTTTGATTGACTGATGATAGCTAATTCAGTAGCACGCTGAGGCTGTCAGCAACATTTGTGAGGTTGATTGTTACTACTGTGTAAAACTGTGGGTGTTTGGCATGTTAACCCTCCCCCTTTATTTTGTCTTTTCTTCAGGAATTACTGTAAATCTGATTGTTTTTTCATGAATCTCTCCTTGACTTCTATTCAATCAAATTCTATTTCTCAATCTTTACAGCCACACTACTAGAATTGTTCATTTAATATTGACAATTACTATTTAAAGAAATACCTTACCCTAAGATTTTTGCATAACTTTTTTCTTTTATCAAACATTCCATTAATGATTTTATTCATACTCTTCCCCGTTTTGCATGTCATATATTCCTTTAATTCCACAAGGTATTAATCATGTAATCATTCGTATTGAATGTCGTTTCATCTTTTCTCTCTTCTTCGTTTCTTTTAGGTTTTGTTTCCTTTTCTTTCTTATATTTGTTTTACTCTTTTATGTTTGCCTGAAAATTTTTAGTGTTCAAGAATATACACATATATACACAAACACATACAGTATTGTTCTGCAAGCTTATTC